TGCTTTCCGGATTTTCAGTACAATAGAATTTTTCAAACTTGTTCAGGCCAATGTGAAATTTCAGTTAATAGTGTTAGGTTCAAAGCTTAAATGCACCTTTTCTTTAGAAAAGCAGAACATCATCTACACACAAGCTTTGATCATCCATTTAGTTATAAAACTGCAAGTAGAATCTAACAATCTAACACATGTTCATGCAGTATTGAAGCTCATGTAGATCTTTGCTAATTTCCAAAAATACCCTATATGAAAACATGTTTTGTCTTACCTTTAAATGTGAAAAATCTACAACTAATGACTCCAGTTTGAAGTTAATTCTTGGTGATTTCATGTTATTTGGCATTCTCTAAAGAACTCTGCAGTTGATTGAAGGCAGTATTGTCAAATAAAACTGCTTTATAAGGTTGTTATCCTGCTGTATTTAGCATTGATGTGGCCTCACCTTGAGTGCTGTGTACAGTTCTGGGCCCCACAATTGAAGAAGGATGTTGAGGTCCTTGACTGTGTCCCGAGGAGGGCCCCAAAGCTGGGGCAGGATCTGGCAGGCATGTCCTCTGAGGAGCGGCTGAGGGCTCTGGGTCGGTCTGGTTTGGAGAGCAGAAGACGTGGAGAGGGAGGTGCTGAGCTCTGCTCCCCGGTGCCAGGGCGTGTGGGAACGGCTTAACGCTTGACAGGAGGAAACATTTCTTTACCGAGAGGGTGATCAAACCCTGGCACAGGCTTCCTGGAGAGGTGGTCGATGCCCTGTGCCTGTCAGTGTCTAAGAGACCTTTGGATGATGCCCTTAATGCTGCGCTTGAGCTTTTGGTCAGCCCTGAAGTGGACAGGCAGTTGGGCTAGGGGGTTGTTGTAGGTTCCTCCCAACTGAAACATTCTATTCTATTCTAATTCCTTAATACTAAAGGAGAGCAAATTATTGTTATTTTGATAATTTGAAGTGGAGCCTGCAGGTTATTCAAGGGATAAGTAACTGCTAAATATTTTTCTTACTTACGTGTAGTGGTTATCAGGATAACACGTTTAACTAGAGACTCTAAAGCATTTTTATCCCGTTGTGATTCAGTGTCTCATAATGTTTTCCCCTCCTCAAACCAGTTTCAATAAGTTTATATATAGGGTTTATGTAAGTCTTTTCTGTACTACGTTGCTTTTGTTTTAAAAGCAAAAAAACCTCGATCAGGAAGAAGAGTGCAGTGGAATAGAAGGGCAATGGAGTGGCCTGAAGTAACATTCAGAGTTTTAAAGGTGACTGCACCTCTTCACACACAAAGTCATAATGTGATTTAAAGCCTCTTGTAGAGGGGTAAACAACAAGATGCTGAAACCTGCATATTTCTTATGATCTGTGTTTTATAATTACCTGTTGTAAGGTGTTTCCAGTTTGACTGATTTGCACAGTTGGGCATGATACGAACTAGGTAGATGTTAAGGGAAGGTATTCAGTGGACTGTGCTGAGTTTTGGAGAAGACGGATAGTTACATTTTACAAATGATAAGGACTTCTATAATGGGCAGAAGGGCTGTCGGTCCAGCTTGTTTTTCCATCTCCCCCAAAAAAGCTATTCCCAGAGAGCACTACATACGCCGTGCTTGCCCCACTCTCACATGAAGCCAGTTTCAAGGCTAGCCCACAAGCCCTGTGAATAAAGTGGAAGCATGGAAGCGTCATCTTAGTAGTTGTTGTGGTAACTGAGAGTAAATGTGGTCCTTTTTAAGGGTGTGCCTCATGCACTTGGTAAATACAAACGTGTATAGCACATGAAGAGTTAACAGAATAGTTTTTGAAGCGTAGCTGGGACAACTGCTAATATGCAAGATAAAGCACTGTTGTTATGGCACTGCAGACATGGTTTTTAGCCTAGTGTTATTTTCTTCTAATAGTTATAAATACCTGGCAGTAGTATTCCAGGAAAGCTAAGCAGCTAAAGAAGCCAAACAAAGACTAACCTCGAACCACTAGCCGTGCTTCTGTTAGCTGTAGCACTGAGGTGGTGATAACCATCTGACAAGGTTAGTGCCTGACGCTGTTCTGATGCCAGTCTGTTGGAATGTTGTCATTTGTTCTTCAGGGAAAAGAAAGTTATTTTTGTAGATCACAAGGGAAAAGCGAGAAATGAGAGTATACAGAATGCTTTCAGAGAAGTAAGTAGGTGTTCCTGAGATACTTGTGAAGTTCTGCCAAAGCTTTAAGCTAAACTACAAAAATAAAAATTAATTATGTGACTTCTAGGAAGTCTTGGCTCCTGACGCTTTACCTTGTAAAAGATGCCTTTTAAATGAAGAACTCTAAACATCTCTTACATTAAATGAGGCAGCTCTGAAGTCTATTCATGAAACTAATAAACTACGTAAAAGTCATTTTTTGTTGACTTCTTCACTTAATTTTCACCTCTTAGATCCAAGTTATTTGCTTTAAGCTTTATTGCAATGTATCAGCTCAACTTCTCCCCTCTGTCATCCCACATCTGCTCGGAATTTGGTACGTAAACACTTCCAGTCTATTTAAGGAAAATGTCCAGTTTCCCTATATTAACTTTGCAGAAATTACAAGCTTCGTGAGTGTGTGAATGCTTATGACATGTGTAGGAGTATGGCTGATAATGAAGCCCTCTCTTTAGCCTGAGGAGTAAAATCTGTACTGAATCTGAAGGTCTGTTTTGGCTCATCCAAAAGGTAGACATTCTCTCTCATAAAGTAGTCCACATGGCTGTGATAAGTAGGAGGGGCATATTCAGAAACTGCTTGTACCTGAGTAACTTGGTTACAAATGGAGTGAAACTCTCCTGTGCTGTTCCTGGCTCCCACTGCCTGCTGCGGAGGAGCGCGGGGGCTGGGAGCGCCTGGCGTCAGATGTTCTCTTTGAAGGCTGATGTTCTGCACAGTGATTCCCAGCCATTTTTCTTTACAGAAACTACAGATAAAAAACAAATTCCAGTGAAAAAAGCTGGTAATTTCTGGAGTAGTGTGAACTCTTGTCGACATACCTGAGTGTCTTCAATTTCAGTAGAAATCTTAATGAATTTTTAGCATCACTTAAGAGGTTTGGAAGATATTTGTGATTTCACGTCTTTTCCTTTTCTGGCTTTGAAGATCTTGTTTGATGCATCTAGTTTGCTCACAGTGTCTTCAAAAGATACTCTTTCCACCTGAAAGACCACACATAAAGTTTCTAGTCAGGGGAAAAAGGATTAAGTAAGTGTTTAAAATATGGGTGCTTAGAAAAGTATTTCAGTTTTCAAAGTTGTCCCATAAAAACAGAATCTCAGCTGTGACTTTTCCAAGATGTGCTAGGTATATTTATGTTAACTCGATAAAATAAATATCTGGCTAAATATGGACCCTGAAATGTAAGCCTATTGGTGGGATTTTCCAAAGTGACTAGCAGGGTTATATTTATTGGCTTTAGTAGTAGTTGCTGTCACACTGACTTTGGTGGCAGAGCTGGATTTTTGAAAGTGTCTAATTCTGTAGTTTTACAAGAGATTTACTAATAATTTTAGGGTAAGCCACTACTTGCCAGCGAGTTATTCAGGCTAATACATATGTGTATGTTAATGCAGAGTCACTGAAGTACCATGGATTTTAGTCTGAAATCCCTGTCTATATTTTAATCTTGAATAAAAACTGTTCTCTTGTACAGAAAGCAGTTTGCGCGCTGATGCTCTGTCCTTGTGCTGCATTATCAAGATGTAATGTCTGTAATACAGGCATTTATGCTGCATGCCAAATTTTACACCTTGGTTTCTCTCAGCCACTTCAGATTAGGCAATGGATGTGTGTGGAAGATGTACGCTGTTGTCTTTCTCTGCCAAAGTGGCTGGTCCAGCCCTGCTGCTGGTTTAGACGAAGGACATGCGTTGGTCTCCTGCTGTTACAGCTCTGTGGTCAGGGTGTGTAGGAGACGTGCTTAATCAACGCATGCTTACAGTTGGAAATAATCCTAAGAGTTCAAATGACACCAAGCAATGGGGGTTGGACTAGATGACCTTTAAAGGTCCCTTCCAACTCAAATTATTCTATGATTGATTCTATGAAAATAAGTTCTTTTAGAAATACTCAGCTCTTTTAAGAGAAACAGCTGATTCTCAAAGACCTTTTTGCATATATGGTCAATAAAAACTCTGAGGAGTATCTGAAAAGTTGCTACGCATACAGTTATTTTTGTACTGTCCTGTGACTACACAGTAAGGGACTACTGTGGGATCCTGCTTATTGACTCACTCTTACAAAGAAGGGTGGAAAAAACAGTTGCTGTAGGAATATTCTGAAAATGCCTGTTGGTGGGAGTGAAGGAGCAAGTAGAAAGTCGTGCTAATTGTAAAGCTATATCTAATGACACACTCTCAGTAGTGACTTCAGAAACAAATACTGCTTTATGCCCTTCAATGTCCTGGATTGTTCTGCTGGCTCAGCTCACTCTTGTGCTCTGTTCCTCAGACTCCAAAAGGTTACAGCTCCTGTGTGTATCTAATACCTATTTATTGTGATTAAGTGTGATTGCCATGTATGTCACAAAAGGTGTACAGTGAGCTGCGTTTATAAGGGTCAGGGACTGTGTAAGCTAAAAAGAAGCTGGTTTTGGGGGAAGATGCGGTCCTTGAAAGCAGCAGTGGTTTTGCTGAGAGGGCTGCTGTGTGTTCGGGGTGGGAAGAGAGGCTTCCCATTTGGCTGCCTGTAGCGGCCCTGGCTGGCAGGCTCTCCCAGTGGCGCTGGGAGTACCCTCCTCCAAAATGAAACGTCATCAGAAGCGTGCTGCTTCACCCCTCTGGAACTAGGTGTGCTGTGAAGATGTTCCAGCTTGTGTCAGTAAGGCCAGCTATAACTGATTTCTCGCCCCTCCCCGCAGTGCTTTTGTGAAGCAGCGATGAAACCCGTTATTTCACAAGCATTCTTGAGCAGGATCACTGAAGGCACAATAGCGAACATTGTTTTAACAACTGTAACTGGAGAAAAAAAAAAAGAGCTTATTAATCATTTTGCCTGTGTGTTCTCAGCAACAGGTACACAAGATGATGACACAACGGGGGGAAGGATCAGAAAGTTAAGCGTTGGGCAGTATGACAACGATGTCCCTGGGCAGCCGCTGTACAACAGGGGTGGATGGATGAAGTCTCCTGCTGCTGACCAGGCTGTAAATCCAGGATCACCAGTTCCTGCAGGGGGGACCAAGGAGGTAAACAATGAAGAGTTTTTCAAGAAAGATTTATTGAAGCTAATCGCCAGGATGGAGTCCCATGTTCGTGTTCAGTGTCCAGAATCAATGTGAAGCAATTGGGCAGGTGTATTGTGGTAATAAGAACAAATGACTGTAGTTATCCTGGAAATACAATTCAGGGTTGAAGGGTGTCCTTCTCTTGTTCTCTCTGTGCGTTTGCATGTTTTCAGTGTTCCAAGATCTCTCTGCTGGAAGAGTGGATCAGATTATATGAAACCTTCTGTGGTCTGATGAACAATGCACTACTGTGTTGTACGGTTTAGTGGGCATTTTCACACTGTAATTTCACTTTTTTGTACCCTTTCTAGATGGCTCTTGCACATTACCAAGATGAAATAGATGGGGGAATCTTCTCCCCAGTGAAAAATGGAAATGAAGCTGTCCAATCCACACCAGCTTTCCCCCTGTCACCAGAAACATCATATGGTAAGGACATTTCTGTCTCCATTTATTTTAATAGCACTATTAACATTTTATTTGTTACTGAAGAGGAATTGTACTTTTCCTTCTCTCCTAGACAAAACACCTCCACTATACCATCAGCGGATTCCCTCCAGCCAAAAGGTTGGCAGCCCATCTGAGCTGTACAGAACCAGTCCTGGTAAGATATCCCTACATCTTAAATAAGTTGAAACTGAACTGTGTATGAAGGCAACTAACACAACAGTGGTTGCTCCTTTATAAATAGGACATACACCTGGTGAATTTAGACACGTGCAAGTTGGAGAACTAGAATTTAGCAGTACTATTTTAATCATATCCAGAAGAAGTTCACAAGGAATAATTATCCAAGAAAGATTTAATGCCATTAATTGCCATCGGGGAGTCCCATGAAGCTAACGATAAAGCTTAGCAGTAGCTATGCTCAAGTCAAGGAGACCCTTAATCAAAGGGATGAACGTTACGGAGGGTTTTTTGCCACAATACAGTTTGTAAATGCGCAAGCATGGAAAAGTAGTTGGTAATAGATGATTACATGGTTAAAGATTTAATGGGATCTAGCTATGGATTTTATTAATAAAAGATTCTACATTGAGACCTTAACTCTTTGCTTCTAAAAATAGTACTAAAGCTATTGTTAGCTGTCACCTTTTGTGTACAGAGGTAGTTTAAAACAAGAAGTTTTTAAAAAAATTATTTCACATGACTGCATCAGAAAGTGATGGATATAAAAGAAAATTAAATAATTTATGTAAAACCTGAATAAAAATCACAAACATTCATCTAAATTGTATGCATTGAAGATGTTCAGATGATAATTCTTGTATGTATAGTTTTATTGCTTAGGCTATGAATGTCTTCTCAGGCAGGATCTCGATAGTAGAGTTTCCAATAAATTTGATGGTGGATTTTGATGCAATAATAGTTAGTGTTGTGGTTTTAACTTTGGGGAAAAAAACCCTTCCTGTTTTAATTTGCTTCATTTAATGGTTATCAAAAGCAAATGACATCAACATAGAATAAAAATATCTTAACTAATAAGGCAGTCTTCTACCCAATTCAGGATATCTCTTTATGGTTCAATTGCTGTGGCTTTGCCCTTCACTCTCTCAACTCTTTAATCAACTAATGGTGGATATCACCTGAGGGAAGCTTCAGCACATCAATTACAGGTTACTTACATTGAGTTAATCTACTGAACACTTTGCTGTTAAATGGTTTTCATTGCTGTTGCTAAGAGTCAGGACTTGCCCTGGAAAATTTAGTGGCTTTCAGTGTATTTCTCTATTTTGTTGATCATTCTCCT